CTGTAGAAAGACAACGTAAGAAGGAAGAGGCCAGATTTTTCTGGTATCCTTCTATCTGTCCTTCCTGATGTTCCCTCCAACTGAAAACTACCTTAACATATTGCCTAAATTAGCAGAAGTGGTAAAAAAGACAGGCTGATGACATCTTGTGAACTACAATTCGCTTGGTAAGAGAGCTGTTAGCAAGCTCACAGCTTGTCACAGAGAAGGATAAGATGTTCTTGAAGGCAAAGACAAAATCTATATTCTTTTCAACAATATCTGTCTGGGTTCAAGAGAGCAATTTTTGGGAAAAATATCTTAAATTAATGTAATTGTATAATTAGAGACATTTTAAAATATAGAATAAAAGGGGAAAATGACAGGCATTTTGCTTCAACAAGGCTTTAAATCCATAACTCAGGTCACAGCAAAATCMCTTCTGAGAAACGTTTCAAGCAATTCTTCTTATGTTGACTTCAATCTACAATGATACTGTTTTGGGATTTTTTAATACCACTTTCTGATGCATTGGAAACTAGTCAGAAGCAGTAATATTAGAAGGTACATGTCCCATCTAATGCAGCACAGAAATTCCTATACTGCTGTAAAGTAAAACCCTAAACATGTGCCACGTATCCTACCATTCCTCACAAGCAATCCTGACTGTGAAGGCCATTCCTAACTATTAAAATACCAACCCTACAAACCCACAGAATCATGGAATGGTTTGGATTAGAAAGGACCTGAAGGATCACCTWGTTCCATCCCTCCTGCCATGGGCTGGGCCACYTTCCTCTAGAYCAGGTGGCTCAAAGCCCCATCCAACCAGGCCTTGAACACTTCCAGGGATGGGGCAGGTACAACTCCTCTGGAAAACCTCYTCCAGTGTCTCCCCACCCTCACCATAGAGAATTTCCTTCCATTATGTAATGTAAATCTATCTTCTTTCATTTTAAAGCAATAGAATTGCAGAGGGAATCATTTTTACAAACCTTGTCACTGATGCAGCTCACATCAGATGTGTGTTAACTTTCCAAGCAGATAATGGAAGGATTCAATTTCAACAGATAAACAGGGTCACAACAGTCTCTGCTCCACTTCTCTCCACTGTCCCCTTCCCCTAAAACAACTATTTTAATCTGTGGTCAGCCTGAGCCTCTTTCTCTTCATAGTAATTTGCAGCATCGGCTCTTCAAGAAAGGAGTCAGAGAACCACAGTCTTATCTATGAATTATTGCTTATAATCTGTGACCRTTTTCAGCCATGGACATGCAGTGAATACTAGCAGCTAAAAATATGCATCAATTTGAGCAAGAAAAAGTGGAATACTATTGCACCTACAGAAGTTAGCTGGAGACAACCCCCGGGGATCTCAAGGGCCCTTSCCTGACTTGGCCAGCATCACTGCTGGAAGACAAATGGAAATTGGTTTCACCTGATATCTCACCTCCCACACCATGAGACTGTGTACAGTTAATGAAAAAAACAGTTTGAAAACCCCAAAAAAAGAAAAAAAAAAAAAAAAAAAAAAAAAAAAAAAAAAAAAAAAAAAAAAAAAAAAAAAAAAAAAGCCTCATAAAGTTGGGGTTGAGGCAAAGGAGAATAACCTGTACAGTCTCCAGGCTAGGAAATCATCAGGTTTTGCTATAGCAGAAATACTTTTGTGCAGCGTCAAAAATGAAGTGCTCTCTGGAGAAAATACATTCCCCAGCAAACAACCTAGATAGGCTTTCCTTCATTAACCAGTAAGAGGGAGATCGCTCTTAGCATGCAGAAGGCACTGAGACTCATTTGACATTGACTTTAACTCAAATTAGTTTTTTTCTGTGATTACAGAAACTTTTGTTCTACTTCTGTTTCTTCACCATCTGTGATACAAAACCTGGCAAAGACTCCAATTAGTTTCCTTTGTGTTATTACTGCCACAAGCACTCAAAAGATAAGCATTTATACAAAAGGAAATTCCTCTTCCATTCTATCCTATCTCTAGGAAAACTGGTGCTGAACTCACGCTCAAATCTTGTAATGCCGCAAAGGTGGTTGTGTTTTGCCTCAGCCAAGCAGGACAGAGGCATCATCCAGCAAAACAAACACACGGAACTCTGAAGCGCAAGTCAGTGGTGTTTATTTACTTACTTAAGCTCTTCACTCATACATACACACACTTGCCTACTTAGTGATCCTGACAGAATCCATGCAGGGCTGTGGTTAAGATGCCAAATTTGATTATTCTGCAAGTTTGTCTTGGSGCCTTAAACACAAAAATCTCCTCATACAGAGTTTGCACACTGCAACAAGCATATCAGCATTAAGGCAACATATTAACTTATATAAAAACGCATGCATAGCTGAAGTAGCAACATGTTTTCTAGCATAGGCAAGCTCCACATGGCCCACGTTTCTGTCCAAAAGGGTATGATCCATGACCAGGAATAGTCTTGACTTTGGCTTTTATTTATGCAGCAATTTACCAACACACCCTATGTCAACAAGTTTACAAATGTTTACAGTGGATTCCCCAGGAAGGTTAAAAGCCCACCTGCTGCAGGGTTTTTTAGATTCAAACAGAATAAAGGGAAGGAAGAAATCTGASAAGTGGAGGACACATGGGAATGGATAAACTGGCAAGAGTCAGACAAGCAAGGGGAGATCACACACTTGCACCAAATCTGAGAAGTGTGAACTAAAATCTAACCCCATTTTTTATCCACTGCACCCCTAGAAGGGCTTTCCTTCCCACAGATCAGAAATGGCTGTTGACCACCATCAGGCTGCTGCTAGGCACCATTTCAGACCACACATAATTTCTTTTCTTTCTTTATGCTAAAAGAAAGAATTGTACATTTTACTGGAGCAGGATAGTACCTCAACACCAGCACCTTATGCTGAGGGTGTACCACACGGAGGTTGATAGGTTTCACCATTTGTTATTTGCAGTTGTTTGCTCACTAGTGCTTTGTACACTTCTTTGAGAAACAGCACAGGCTTTCAAGTAGTTAATTAATCAAGCAGCAGTTTGGTTTTTGGGGCAAGACAGTATGCCTTCTTGTGAGGTCTCCTGTACAACATCATTCTGCTGTGACACAAACATCTGAACAATTTTGCTTTAGACTCTAAAGAGTGCATTTAAAAAGCTCTACAGCCAGAAGGGATATAAAAATAATTCAGAATGGGTTCTTTGATCCTTTTTCCCTACCATTCACATCTGGCTGAAAACTTTACAAGCAAGCAATCTGCCTGTTTCCATTTTCAGAAATTCAGTCTTTTACAATTGTACTAGAATTTAAACTAATGACAGTCACAATTTCATAATATGTCTGAGTTAGTGTAACATCTTCTAGCCTTAGAAAGACACCCCCTCCCATTTGCCTGATACTCAATTCCATTTGCCTTCCTTCTCTTTTGTTTTCTGTGCTGATGTTCTTTAGGGAGCTAGACTGGCAGTAAACTAAACCTAACAAAAAGACTAAGAGTTTTCAYCTGTTWAACTCCCAGAACAAGCTCACAGMGGTGAGCAGATAAGCAACACAGATGATGATGAGGAGGGGAGACCTKTTGAGCAGTAGCTCTCAATTTCATAAACTGAGCTGAAGCAAGAAGCTGCACTGCAGACTATTCTGTCAAGTAGTTTGTGTTAAGGGATGAYCCCACTCAAACATTGGAGTGGATGTCTTTCACTTGATGAATAAGTGAAGTCAAACCATATATAAGTCAACCCATATATAATAATGCTTCAAACCAGACACCATGGAAATAATCCATCCCTGTTCACAGATGCTTTCTAACATCAAAACACGAATCTTAAGTATTTTTCAATTCATTCTATATATGCTCCCAAAGGTAGGGATAGCAGTCTAAAATTTGCCAGACTGACTTTCTAACTTTTTTTAGAACCTAGCAAGTACAACTTACTTTTTGCATTTGCTTCTCTACATCTTCCAAAAATAACTTACAATTATTAGGAAATGTAACGGTTTACTATTCAGAATTAAATCTATTATTTTCTACGAACTCATTTTGCGACTTAAAATTAAACAAACAATCCAGTGAACACTGATCCCTCCCCTTCTTCACTCCTCCTCCATCAGCTTTTACACACATTTATTCATCAGCTGCACAACAGACGCTGAAGAGCATCAAGTACTGGTTTCATGTGGCCATGCATTTCATTTTATCAAACGAAAAATACTTGGGAGAATGTCAGCATATAAAGTAACGGATACTCAGAAAGCATAGCTCCAGACAGCGCTTCTTTTCCCCTCAAAAAAACTTGCAAGTTCTTCTTGAAGTGTCCCAAAACACGTGTGTACCTTGAGCTTACAGCTCGTACTTTTGAAAGAAACTAGAGGCAACAGCGTGASAGACAGTAAGAGAAGTCACTAGAATGTCCATGACCCGAGCTACTCGGCACATACAGAAGGGCAGCGAGGCCGATGTCGCAACCCCGCGGCGGCTGCAGGTACGGCCCGCGCCCCTCGGGCTCCAGGGACGGCTGCCCCGGGCCGCTCCGGGTCTCTCCTGTTACAAAGGGGCGCAGAGCTCACGTTCAGGCTCTCAGCAAACCACAGCGTCKCGTATGTTCACACATGCCAAACTGCCCGCGGATGCTCCACAGCTCCTTTTGGAGCACGGGTTTCCACGCACCCACGGGAGGCGACACCAGAATCCCACGTGCCAGCGGCCGCCCCCGGCCGCGGTCAGGCGAGGAGAGGAGGAGGAGCCGCCGCCATCGCCCCCGCCGCACTTCCCCGGCTCTCCCTCGCCCCCGGGCACGCAGCTGCCGCCCGCGGCCCCCGCTCCGGCCCGGGACACGGCGGGAGCCGCCATCCCCGGGGGCCGCCATCCCGCGGGGCGCCACCGCCCCCGGCCCGRCGGGCGCTGATAGGCGGCCCAGCGCGGAGGGGCGGGCGGGGAGCAGCGCGGCCCAATGCGCGCCTCAGCGGCGCCGCGCCCGCCCGCAGCCCCGCGCCCCCGGCACGGCCGTGCAGGAATGCGGCGGCCGCCCCCCGCCCCGGTACCTTCTCCTCCTGCAGAGCACGCACACGGCCCACAGCAGCAGGGCGGCGGCGGCGGCCGCCCCGCCGTAGGTGCCGAGCGGCAGCGTGTCGGGGCCCATGCTGACGGCGCTCGCCTCGGCGGCTGCTGGTGCCTCGCCGCCGCCGCCGGGGAGGAAAGTTTCGCCCGTCCTCCCGCTCCCGGCAGGAGAGGCGCCCGGCCGGCCGTCCCTCCCCGCCCACCCCGAACCCAGGGGGCTGGGTTTGGCTGCTSGGAGCTGGACTTGGCGAGCGGGCCCGGTGCGACCCGGCCGGCTCCTCCCCGGGGAGCGCCCGGCGCGGGGAGGGTCGCGCCCGCCCGCCCCCGAGGCCACCCGGCGGCGGCGGAGGGGAAGCCCCGGCCTTCGGCTTGCCGGGAAAAGGCTCCCGTGCGGCGGGAAGGTCCCAGCACGGAGACCCGAGAAGGATGGGGGGATTCTCAGTGCCCCCCGCCCTTCAATCCCCTTCAGCCGTCACGGCACCCCGCGAGGGTCTCGATGCCCCGCAGACGTGGCCTCGGGTGGCGGAGTGGCGGTGGCGTGTCCCAGTAGCAGGTAGCAGCTCTGGCACCTCTCGGTTTTGATACCCGAGTCTACCCGCTATGTGTCCCCTTACAAAACAAGACAACATMCCACAGCTTCATAAAACTTAATCTGAGGTATGATACATGAGATACAAATAGCGGGGGTTGTCTCTTGACATTGTGCTGTATGAGAAGAAACTGAGTCCAGTCCTCCCACTGTGCCAGCCCTTCTGGTGTGTTACGGAGAAGTACAAGGAGGAGGTGKGAGACCAGAAACTGAGGGGATGGGGAGATCCCCAGCGTGAGGAAGCGGGGTGGGGTGGAGCGGCAAAGAGGTCCAGGGAGTTCGGTWCTGCGTGGCAGGGCAGGGACTAACAAAACAGCAGGGCAGCAGCAGCAGCATCGCACAGCTCCACTGCCGTTTGGTACAAGGTACGCTCAAATGTTGCTGTGATGTGAGATACRCTTCAATGCGAATTCACATTGAGAGATGGAGTAAGATCCTTCAGGGTTTGGTTTGGGATTGTGGTTTGGTTGAATGGGGAGAGACACAAGTTCATGCTAATTTTTGGCCATGTGCAGTATCATACATTATTTTGGGTGGTGTATACATTCCTTTCATCTTAGAAACAAGTTGTCGAACACCTGTCTTCTGACTTGTCCTGTTGTAAGTTTCCCAGAGTCATAAAGTCCCAACTGTATCTTAGGCAGATAAAAAAGACATTTAACTAAAAACCTTCCCGACATTAGCATATTTCATMATTTTTAAGAGCCTGAGGCATATCTGAGGGTTTGCAGTCATCAGAGCTGTTTGTCTTCTTTCTCAGCCACTCCTGTTAGTTGCAGTGAAATACTTAAACGTTGGATTCATCATGGAAAATCTAATTAGTGTGTCTCACATTAAAGGTGACCCAAATCTGAGCAACATTGCTTAAAACCATCAGCTGTCTGTCCCTCCTGAGATCCAAAAATCAGACACTCTTATTGTGCACAGAGGGAAACCGCAAGAGAAACTAATGCTTCACTTGTAGTTCTTTAGAACTTTTTGCAGGGAATTATATTTGAAATCCCCAGCTTGGGAATTCCAAGGGGTTTCTTACCTACTAATCCTGTAAATTAATGGAAAAGGAGTASTTCAGAACTTAGAAGCTTTGCACTGTAAGACATTACACAGTAAAATATTACTCATTTTACATGTGACCTCTACTGTGAAAAATTAGTGTTTCAGTTCAGTTTAGTGAAAAACTACTGTCCATATACAATTAAATAGCTGTGGCAGCTAGGGTAAGCCCTCATCCATAATCAAAACATCAAACCACCAAGATTGCTGTAGTTCTGCCAAAGGGTATGAAGAGGGTTAGGACAATCTTTTCAGTTAGCGCTTTCCATGTTTGCTAGAAGTTAAAATTGCAGAAGGAAAAAAAAAAAAAAAACCACCCCACACACCAAAAAGCATTTTGAACCATACCACAAGCATTTTGAAATACAGGAAACAAACCCTGAAAGGTCCTAAGTCCCCTAAGAATGCTGAGTACTGTTCTGGGTCAACCATTTAAACAGTCCAAGAGGATGGGTTAAATTCTTAACTAGWGAAGAAATTTCAAAGAGCTAGCAGCTGAAACATGTTTAAGTTTAATGTCTTATATATAGTATGAATTACATCAATGCAAATCCAACTGGATGGTATTWACACATAACGTACCCAGTTAAAATTGTAATAGATGTATCCATAGATATTGGCATCTCAGCTAACTGGAGAAAGGGTGAGGCTAAACAGTTCCCTTTAATGTTGCTCTAGCAGGAAAGAGGAAATTAATTTAATTTTCAGAAGGTGTAAGCCTAGTCTTATAGTGAATGCTCTCATGTTGAAAAATTAGTCTTTTAAGATTTGGMGGGATTTTAATTTTCAAGCTATCATGAGATCTTTATAGTGCTCTCACTACAGCATGGTCRTAACTAAGAAGAATGCAAATACTGTTATATTTGGAAATTAATAATGTTACTCTCCAGCTGGATACAACTGTGTCCAGTTGTTATCCTTACTGATGGGATGTAATTGCAGTAGTAGTGGCTCCTTGGCAGATTTCAAGAGTTGTTTGTATGTATTAGAAAACTGATAGAAACAACTGTAGGCTGGAGAGAGGTGAAGGCAAGTACTTACTGATTTGGGGGGAGGGATGGAGAATTCATGAGGTAAGCTTGGAGGGTTTTTCAGTTGCAAAGATTTCAGAGAGGTTCCTAATACTGTGGTAGTAAGCCTAGATAGATAGATAGATAGATAGATAGATAGATAGATAGATAGATAGATAGATAGATAGATAGATAGATAGATAGATAGATGGATGCTCAGCTACATTTCTCCTGTTTAAATTGTGAACATTCTGTACATATGCTACAGTTCAAAATGCATACTGTGTGTATGTTTCATACTGCCAATGTTGTAAGATGATATAGATCATATTTTTTTGTCTTATGAAAATGCAGAAGACTCAAAATAAACTTTGAACAGTATATACTGCAATCTGTACAGTATTTTACACATCACAGTGTGATTTTGCTATATGCAGCACATGGACAAATGCCTGTTCTACTGGGTGGCTTTCATGTGCACAAGGATTTAAACTCCCAGGCTTAGACAAGAGCAGATTCTCTACCATTGAAACACCAGTGACATATGTGTTATAAGCAGCAGCGGGAACAAGGCTTACTTTTCCACTTGCCCAGCACTACTCATTCAAAGGTTGTTTTCAACAGCTTATAGCTTTGCTCTGCTATAACCATTGTGATAGCAATACTGCAAGCTTATTTTTGCCTTCAGTTTAAGTGTGCACAAAGTATTTCAACAAAAAATAAAACTAATGTATTTTTGTGAACAATGCTAAAGAAAAATACCCGTRTAACATATTTAGTGATTTTGAGAAKTGGCAGGGGCATTAGACTTTGAAATGGGGTCAACAAATTAACCTCTGTGTCAAAGATAATCTGTCCAAATTTATTTAGGTTATAAACCCCACAAGAAAAGAGGTTTTGTACACTCTAATGACCTGCTGGACCTTTTGGGCTTCATTCCGTGAAGATGCCACTGGAACTGGGTCTGCTTCCAGCTCTTAGCTCAGCAGCTGTTTTCTCTGGAAGTGAAGCTCTGAGCTAATAGAGATCAGGCTGAATTCAGGGCAATGAAACTAAAAGCCTTTTTGTTCCCTGCTCTCTGTCTCCCTTCCTGCTAGAATACAGGCAAAGGGAAATTCAGTGATTTAAGTGTAGGATGAAAAGGCTACAGACCTCTTAAATTYCCCTTGATTCAAGACTAATAATTTAATTCTCGGTTTGTTTTCTCTSCTTCAAGAACACGCTAATCTGCATTTAATGTTTTTGTTACACAGCACTGCAGGCTCTCTCCCATGGCCTCCCGTGTCAATCACGGCTGATCAGCCTGAGCTCTGAATAAGACCCCACGCTGAGAAGTCCCACTCATCCATCCCTGCAATTCAAATGTCTTGGTCCTACTTCCCCCTGTCATGTGGAATGCCATGCCAAACACATACTTGCTACATACACCAACATATGGACTCATTCTTAAAAAAAAAAAAAAAAAAAAAAAAAAAAAAAAAAAAAAATAAGCTGAGAGGTCAATAGGGACAGGGACAAGAACTGAATAGGGAAAGAGACCATGAATGGGAGCCAGGAAGGGGAAAAAAGGAGGATTAGGAACAGATGAGGGGAAACTGAGGATGAATGGGAAAGATGCAATCTGGGACCCAAAGGAAAGGAGGTGACAGTAAGAATAGAAAAGATTTGAGAAGAAATGTGACAGAACTGGCAGCTGCCTCAGTGTAGAGATTAAGATGTGGAATTGTAATATGACTCAAAGGTAAAATCCAAGAGCAGAGGTGGAACTGGAAAYGAGTGGGAATGACAGTGTGGGAGAGGAGAAGCCAAGAGGACTTAGGTAAAAAAACCTGTGAGATGCTTCCTACAGTTTGCATGCTGAGTCTCACTGGGAAAGAAGAAAGGGATTTGAGTCAAAAATTGACCCTGGGAAAACATAAAAGTGATGGGCAAGGTGATCAAGATAAGAAGGTACTAGCAGAAAATGCTGTGTCTTCCTGGCTGCAATTTTACTTTTTACAACTGCGGAGCCTMAAAAGACATGGTCCTGTTTCTCTGTACTACCATCTGTGCCACAAGTCATGCAAACCCATCTTTTCCCTTCTGTTACAGCTATCCTGTGGTTACAGTGAGAACTGATTACTTCCTAATCTGACATAAAACTCATTCACTGAAGGAGAAGAAGTAATAGCTAGCATGCCACCAGATGAGCCACTGATTCCACTCATTCTGAAGCTGTAGAGTCTTTACCTTTGCAAGAAAATAGACTGGAAATCTAAGATGTGGACTATGGGAAAATGAGACATCCTGTTCTGGGAGTTAAAAAGGGAGCTGTGTTACAGATGCCATGTGGAAGAACTTCCGCATTTTCACACTTTGAATTGTGAATTTTAATGAGAAAATTTTAATATGTACATGTACCTACAAGGAAGTAATTTAGGAATGAGCTTTACAGATAAACCTAGATTATGTAGACAAAGAGAATGGAAAACTCACACTTCTTCTTAGTTGTAGTTGAAAACCAGCTAGAGCAGTGGATGGCCTGGCTAAGTTAACTACAGATTCTCCTTGTTACATATATTCCATCCATTTCTGTGGATAATTTCTATACCATCATACCATGGCTAATTATCTGATAGACCTTCATTTTCTGCAGGTCAATTTGAGAGCTTAGGTCTGATTTTCCAAAGTGCTAAATGCATCAAAAGCAATGCCTGTCCGTAGTATCTGGCTGTAAGAAACGGTGGTGTATTCAGSATTTGCCCTTTGAACATGTAAAGCACTCTTAGCATAAAAAAACCCCAGCATTTAACTTCCCTACTGATGAGCATCTGTGAAAATATTAATGCTGGTGTACCCTAAAAAGAATTTATATTTGCAATATAGTRAGGTACTCAGTTGTACACTCTAAGTAACATAGCAATATTTTGAAGAATGCTGTATTCCCTGCACAAGATTATATAATCAGAATTTGGCAAATTTATAGKGAAAAGTTAATGTAACTACATTGTACTTGCCTTGATAACAGGCCTACAATACTGGGATTTTTTTTAACTTTATAATATCTGAGTTTGTAACCTTCAAAATGTACTTTTTACTTTTCATTACTATAATTCAGTTTTATTTGCCTTGGGAATACTGCAGTCTTTGCTAGCAGAAAATATTTGGGGCAACTAAAGAGTGTTTGTACTATTATAAAAACAAATATCATGTATTAACTCATTAGCTAGCAGGTGTATGTATATAAACAACATCTGGACATTTTTCATTTCTCTGGAGGACTAAACATTGCTATAGCTCAAATCGGAAGATAGGAGAGGGGAGGGAAGGGGAGGGAAGGAGAGGAGAGAAAAAAGATTTACTCCCCGTTTACCCGAGTCCCCGTACTCCCGGTTTACCCGAGTCCTTTTAAAGAATGTATGTAAAGAAAGCATTAAAGATGCAGCTCTCACAATCCTGTCCATCATAAGGATGAATCAGCAGTAGATGAATATCCTGTTTTGCAAGCAGTTCAAGAGAAAGTCTAAAGAGTACGCAGTTACCCAAGTGAGAAGAACAAGTGACTAAAGATTGTAGATGAAAAATCCCAGAACTATTAAAAAGTGTGTTATTGATGGACCGTGATGTAAGAATATTGTATGAGCCAAATGGTTAGACATAGAAGCAGTGAAAAAGGAGGCAGTAAAATCCAGACAAGTTTGTCATCAGGATGATAATACAAGTGTGATTCCACCCACAGACATTTCTGAAACCCCACACAGGGAAATGCAAGAAATACACAATCACAATCTAAAGGAAGTCAGTGACTAGGATATTGCCCTACAATGAGTAAGCATTTGTGTCATAAATGCTAGCCATTGCAAAACAGGGCAGATACATATGGCCAATACATTTTTTAAAAATAGAAGAAAATGTTTAAACTGGAGAATAGATCTCCTAAACTGAAATAAAATCAGTATTACTCTCGAAAACTTCTGAGCTGTCTTAGCAAGAGCAAACAAGGTGGAGCARTGCAGATGAGATCAAAGGGCAATAAAAAATGTTTCAAGAGCAAGGCTAAGTTATTGCGTACATAGGAGTTAATTAGCAATTAAACAGAGGGTAATTATCAACTAAAATCAYGTTTTATGTAAAAATGTGGAGAAATGCACCAGTTCTAAATGCAYGCTTGTGTTTTAACATTCACATTGAGAAGAAATGTATGTTTGAAGTAATGTTTGAAGAAGGAAAACTCACACAGACATAAAATGTGACTTGAATAATGTGACTCAGTCACATGATTTCTAAGTCCTGCTATATTAGACTAGAATTGASAAAGAGTCCTAAGATGCTAACTATACTCCTGCAAAACCAGTTTTTCTTCTTATTTATCTTTTCTGGACCACAGTTTATCATTGTATTAGTGCTACAGCTTTTTAAACCACACTTTTAAATCTGTGTTCTTTGGGTTTTGTTAACTTATTGCATTGTTTTTTCCTCTGATAGTGCATGGTATTAGTGGTCTTGCTGATCAGTCACATAAATAAGGTATTATTTTAAAATTGTGTTTATATTTTATTGTAATTAATAGTTTGAATTAAGCCTAACTCTGAAAAACAAAAAGCAAGACATTGTAGCACAGTGAATTTGAAACTTACCTGTAGAGTCCAAAACTTGGCTTAGCAGTCAATGTTTCAGGGTTAATGTGCAATCAGTTAAGTCAAAGGTATTTGATATTCCTCAGCACTTTTTCTGATTGACTTTTAAAAACCAAATCAGATGTGCTTCAGGGTGACTTGTATGTTGCTTCTTTCTTCTCCATTATTCTCTATATTTATTACCTTAACTGTTTCTTTTCCTTAGGAATGTTTTGATTTGAAACCAGTACAGAAACTTTGGAATCTCATACTTCACCAGGAGATTAAAATCTGGAGCTCCTTTCTTCTGCCTATCTGGGACCGTTTTGACTGACCCTGCCATTCTTGAGGTGAAGACTTTTGATTTGCCCATGAATCAGCTCCTGATCCACCAGTTTGTAATTGTCCATGTGAAAGTAAACCAAATCTGAATAATTYCTCTGATCTTTAATGAACAAGGCTCAGCTTGTTCATGGGGCATGTACGTTCTTGCACCAGAGGCCTCACGGCAGGCCTGGGGCATAGGCTAATGGCCCGTCATTATGTCACTCAGATTGTGATCTTGCGTTGCAAATCTGTCAAAGCCTGAACTGGACAGGTAAAACTGCTGGGGATTGCTAAATGTAAGACTCTTTGTGCATGGGGCACACCTATGGGAGGTGTTGTGATTAGAGGAGTCGGGCGGAGTATGGGGCAGAGTCTGTACTTTGGACTCTATCCTAWATAGATGCTTTTCATAAATTAAATGTTCCAGTGAGTGGATAGAGACTAAGCTCAGGCAGGCCTAAAATGTGATCTCAGAAGTGAAGATCTCTTTATGTCAATTTCTCCCTAAATAGTGAAGCAAGCACAGATCCTTTAAAAAGGGAAGTAGGAAATAGTTATGCAGTCAGCCTACACCCACAGTTACTTTCCAGGTTTGTTACAGGCTAAGTTGAAACTGAGGCCTTGTGTAATTTGTCACTGAAGTCTCTTTTGATTGCACTCCAACTTATCTTTTTTATTTCATCACTGCCAGTTTGAACAACCAGTAGTGGACAGTAATCAGAAAGCCTTAGTGGACTGGATTGTTTTCCAGTAATGTCCCTTATCCGAGCCCTGGGTGACAGCAGGGCTTCCCTGTGAGCTGGGTCTGGTCTGCATTTCGGACCCTCCGTACCCCTTGGATGGGAGTCTCCTGTTACAACTATCTCMTTTTCCTATTGACAGAGGAGGTCTTGATGAAGAGTGCAGGTGGTGTTTCCTCTTCCTTGCCAGCTATGGAGTCCATTTGCTGCCTCTKTTGGTTCCACCTGAATGGTTAGAGAGGAGCCCTTCCTGCATGAGCTGCCGGACAAACAACTGCTGTGCTCCACTCGAGGTTGCTCAGGTGCCCTGGAGCCATTTAAATCTCCCACGGYTGCTCCTAGCACCACCTCCCTCTTGCTTGGTTGGCTACTGAGGRCTTCCWCATCCTRACAAGTCTCAGGGCTGCTYCATGGGTTCCTGWAYTAAGGAACCACSCTGTATRGCTCAMTCTCACCCCCCAGGCTTTCCTTCASTCRCTGCCACTTCGTGGATTTGCCCACATTTTAATTAAAATAATGGTTTCATACTTCGAGTTATATTCTGCAAACACTGGGGTAGGCAAAATAATGTATTGTCAGATGCAGATATCAGTGTTTTAACCAAAGCAGCATAGGTTTCTAGTCATATCCCACATGAATGTATAAAACCAGGCTAAAATGGAGCTCACAAACACCAATCAAATAAATGACTGCTATAAATGTAAGCAACTTGGAATAAATAAAAAATTCCCAAACCAGAAAATAAGTATTTTAAAAAGTAAAATAATTGTTTGCTTTGAAAAACACCTGCAATATTGTGTCTTTTTTTTCCTTGCAGGAAGGAAAATTGGTTAAGACATTTCCTTAATGCAAACCTGTTTCTCCACAGAAAGCAAAGGCCTGATTTCCAGCTCAGACTAAAATTGGATGTTTCCATTGTTTGCATTTCCAAACCATCCTTTAGCCATTACCTTTTTTCTTCTGCCAGGCCCACTGTTCCCTGCTTTTGCTCTCTGCTTGTCCTTCTGAATGTTTTCTTTTGCAGATCATAGAATCATAGAATGACTTGGGTTGGAAGTGACCTCAAAGGTCACCTAAGTCTAACCCTCTTGTTATGAGCAGGGACACCTTTTACTGAACCAGGCTGCTCAGAGCTCCATCCAGCCTGGCCTTGAACACTTCCAAGGATCATAGCTGGCCTCTGCTTCCAGAAAGACCCAGTACCTAATGGTTTCTTCCTGCCCACTTTCCTTAGTTTCCGTTTCTGGGTGAGCTGTGTTTTGGGCTGTGACTTCCTTCCTCTCCCATTACTCCAGATAAAAGCATCACTGCTCCAGCATTTGTAGGAGAAGAACTTGTGAAGGTCGGTAACCAGTTGCATCAGCTTCAAAGATGTGCCATCCCAGCATCCATTATCCCCTTGTATTACATTCACAAGCACTTAATGGATATGTATGTATTTAAGAGGCCCTCATAAATTTCAAACTTGTATATATTCAGAATATAAATTATTATGTTTCTTTCCTTTTTTTGGAAAAGGTCCCATTTATTTGAAAAACAAGTCTTTCCTATTGTTTTCTTTTTTACAATCACTTACAGATTTCTCCATTGCCTCAGACCAAATTTAATATTACATGACATATGCTGGCTGAAAGCATAATGATACCGTGATAATTTTCTTTTGAATTCTTTATTCGCCTCTGTTACATCTAATTACATTTCTGTGGTATTGTATTCAAATTATCCTTAGAATTCTATGCATTTTTTTCTAGGTAAATTACTATTTAGTTTTAAAAATTAAAGGAAATACCTAATTAGTGGTACTGAATAACTGATCAATTTTGTGCTTCTTGAGCTTCTCTCAAAATTAGTGTTTACCTCTATTTGCATTTAAATTTCTAACCCAATGCTTGGCCTTTGGAGGAGAAAAAAAAATTGCTTGCTTAAAGGATCTGTTTATATCAGGTTACTTGCTTAAATGTCCCAATAAGTGATTTCATTCTGTAAATCTCTAAGTTGTATTTTTCTATATATAGATATATGTTTTAGAAAAAAGTTGACCTTCTTCCTCTATATAACTATCATTAGTTTTAAAAGCCTGAATGGTCTCATTGAACTTAAATTGAGAGACTACTGAAGTKCAATGACATTGTGAGAGGCATCTACTGGAAATTTTGTGTCTGTAACAGATACTATTTCAGCACTGAGAACAATACCAAGGACTTGAACCTCTATGTCTTTCACATTTAGAACTCCTACCAAAGTCAGGGGAAATCTTCATGGAGCAGAAAAGTGTAATAGTATAATTATTCATATGCTGGAAAATGGCATATTATTCTAACACCTATTAAAATAAAATTGATACCTTTGTAAGTTTCTATCTCAACAATTTTGAAAGTAGTAAAATATGTGCAGGAATTGTTAAGTATTTTTTTCTTTTCTGAATCATAAAATTTTGCCCTTAAAAGTTTACAGAAAGTCAAACACTAGGCAAATATGTTCTCCGTACAATGGTCTCCGTCTTTCTGTGCTGTTTTTGTAAGCAGAAACTTAGGAAATTATATCAAATCCTATTAAATAAAATTCAGTATGTCAATTCACTTTTATTTTTAAAATAATTTTAACTGACATTAAATCAAAGCATTTTATATTGTGATTTATTGGCAGTGCAACATGTTGAGTTTCAAGTGAGCTGCTTGTCTCCTGAAATGGGCAGGAGAAAAGACACTCTGAAACTACACCCAGAAGATATTAATAACTCTGGTACTTCTCACTTATTGATTGCTTAACAATTAGTGTTTGCTTAACAATTAGTATTGCAGATAYGATAACAAGAACTTGTGTTGAAAGTGTTTGCAAATAACTTTTCCATTTCCTCACTGATGTATCATCTCTAGATGACAGCAAATTGAGTGAGGCAACAATCACATCATTCATCATCTGGTATGAATGAGAGGGTCTCTCTCTCTTGTCCCCAGTACAATTCTGCCAGGTTGGTGTTATGAGCTCTGAAAAATAGGTGTCATCATACTGGCTATCACAAGTGGCCCACTCTTTTTTATTTAGGAATTTCTATCAAAAGCAGTAGTGTAAGCAACTAGATCCTTGCCGAAGTTGGTTACAGAATAATTTATGGAAAGGCTGTCTTCTGTTTCCAAGGGATGTTGTGCTGCTGCTTGCAACAATTAGAAGGTGTGGTCCTTCCTTCCTTCCTACCTGATTTACTTTAATATTTSGTATTGTAACTACAGACTTAGTATTATTGCCCTGTTAATATCCCCCCCATGCATTTATAGTTCTCATTTATGTATAATAATGGTTAGAGTTAGAAATSTCTGTTCCTGCTAAACACTTGATGACCCTTAGCATTCATCTTGAAAGGTTTTGTCATCACACTTAGCTTCGAGCATRTGAGTCCAAAGTGCACCCATATTTTGGCTCCAACATCTTGGCAAAGACCTGCTCCAGCCTGGGGGCTGGGTGCCTCAGCTCCACCTTAAATCTTTGGGTCTGGTCCAGCCCTGTGCTTTGGAAAGGTGCCAGATCAGTGTCTCTCAAGGCTGAAGTTCTTCTGTACATTCACAAAAAGGCAATAACTCGGGCCCAACTTTTCACACATCTCAGCAAACTGTGCTGTACTGAAGGAGCTGTGTCTTCCCTGACAAGTGCTTCAACCATTGGAACATTCAGATTGGTCCAAAGAGTCAAGAGCCTCAGTTCTTCAGCTGAGACTGAACAGTCCAGGTCCACTAATTTATTTTATGTTACACTGCTATGAACAGCTGCCGAGCACAGATAGTCCTTCTTTTGACCAAGAGGTAAAATAGGTTCAACAAAACATGGACCTAGATTCCAGACTACTCAAACCAGTCAAAACAAGTCAAGTGTCTTTCCAAAACCCAGCCTCCACTGTCCTCCCTTGCTAAAAGGCTTCTCAGTTCTGCAGTTTGGCAGTCAGCAGGCTATTGCACTGAGAGAGAATTTCAAATTCAAAGATCCTGATCTTAAAATGTCAACAAAACACCTGGTGTTCCAGTGTCAGGAGGCCACTGATGAACCACAAATGCCAATTTTAATAATGTAGTTTAAATTGTGTAGTTTAATTATRAAGTTTAAATCACCTATGTCAATTTTTTGGTGTAAACTTATAAAGCAGTGAGTGATTAGTCTACCAAAACACTCAGGAAATGTGTTTTAAGTCAAATTACTAGTAACAGCAGCAYAGACCCAGCAGCTCCCTCCTTTCTTTCCTGTGACAAGCAGAGTATTGATCCCCAGCATCTCCACTGTCTCAACTGGTCTTTTAGACATATGGCATTTTGAAAAGCAGTAACTAACACTAGGTCAAACCATATAGTTTATTTTCTCTGACAATCCCTTCTGATACTATTCACAGGATGGAAATGCTTGTGACATGGGATTATCAATAAAGTGCTGCATGCAGAAGAAGTCTTTAGCTCCAATGAGTGGACAGAACCTGTYCCTAGTCCCCTAGGTTCTAACTGCATTCTTATGATTACTGGCATTAACATTCTGATTTGAAAAAGAAAAGTAATTGTTAAGCCTGGGTATTTTAACTGAATAAAAGTGTTTTTCTAGTAGTGACTAACAAAAAAAGGAAGAACAAATATAGATTTTAATACTGTTATATTAAAATCAAAATGTAAATATACATGGCTGCAGAGAGCTACAGTGGGAATGTCTCCCTCCCCACCAGTCCACAGAGGTTTGCACATATGGTAGCCCGCTTTGCATTGCTTGGAAACTTTATCACAACATTTGCAAAAAGTGATTTGTGTTTTGGGATGGTAATTCATTTTTTAGAAACTTTCTTTTTATTCACTGCTAGAGATGGGCTGAAGCCAGTTGTGTCTGAAATGAAACCAAAAGCCTCATGAGCAGATGGCCTAGCATGTTCAGCAAAAGTGCTATCTGGAAATGTGATGTATTCTTCACTAATGAAGAACCTTGAGGACTGTCCTCTCTGTTTACCATCAGCCTCTGATTGTGTATCATTCCCTTATTCTCACAAGCACTGCTGCAGATGCTATATAAGTAGTAGCACTAAGTTTTAAAAGTCACACTGTATTTCTTTTTTGCTCTAAATTAATGATATTTGATTTCTTTTGTGGGGTATTTTTGTTTTCTTAATACCTAGCAGCACAAATATTTCTATGGGTTGACTTGTATTTATCTGCATATGTAAATTGAAATCACACTAAATGGCCATTATGATATCCCTTTCAGTGTCCTTAGCATAGTCTACCTCATCTGATTTTTCTCCCAATTTATTCAGCATAAGGTGGGGAGGAAGAAAAGAAGACACAGTTCCTACATGCTTTCAGCATTCTCGAGGTTACATCCTTCTCCATCCACTCCTTTCCTCCAGCTGATGCA